AGTAACATTAAAGTGAAAAGTCTGTAACAGCTTCGCTGTTTATATCTGACATGAAATGTCAAACTCATGAATGATTAATGTTAAACACTGTTCCGTAACTAGGCCGTTTTGTTTGAAATACTAGTAATTTGTCTCTCCTCTAATCTAAACAGGAGTATCCAAATGTGTTGGTTGGCGTATTCATTGAGCAGCCCACTCCATTTCTTCCTGAATTCTTCCAGCGGCTGCTGACCTTGGATTATCCAAAGGATAAACTCAAAGTTTTTGTCCACAACAATGTGAGTGTACACAGCTGCTCTTACGTTTTGTTTCACAGTAGATCTTTACCATGCATGGCTCCATACATGTAGCTTCTAATCCATTAATATTGGCTCCCTGCTCAGGAGGTTTACCACGAGAAGCACATCCAGAAGTTCTGGGAAGAGAACAGGAATGTGTTCAACAGTTTCAAGGTTGTGGGACCAGAAGAAAATTTGAGCCAAGGAGAGGCCAGGAACATGGGCATGTATGTGTGCTTCATCTCTCAGAAACTGTGGTTTAAAGAACAAAATCGATGAAACCAGATGATGGTGTTTTTGGCCCGGGCCCCTGATTAATCATAGCCTAAAGGAAAACTTGCCTGTTACTTTAAAAACCTCTAAATTATACTTGCATGATTTCTATTTTATCATCAAACAGTCTTCTTATGTTGCAGAACTATGTTAATGCTTCCTGCCCCCCAGGTGTTCTTTTCAAACTAAAAGTAAATGTAAACAGTACGTAATGTAGCTGAAATATTGTCAACTCAGTAGTTAGCTTTTCAGATTACTGATAATGTGTCCCTTCTTGATTCAAAACATTCAGAATTGTGCATGTGATATATTGCACTGATTCATCCTATATGGGCCATCTCTCTCATTGCTCAGTGTTTAGTAAGTCTGTTGTCACGGTGATAATTCAATCTGTGACGCCTCATCACAGAGATCCTATCAAAAGCACAGCACACTAAAAGCATTGGTCAGAACAGCCCTATAATAAAGAAGTCTAAGGTTTATTAGGAGTCTCTAATCTTCCTAAGATTATCCACTGGAAGCTTAAAGATAGTCAGTGAGAGCCTGACTCTCCATGATTACTTCCAAGTATTTGACTGTAATCAGCTCTGAATTGAATAATCACTACTTTCTCTGCCATGCCTGTATTTTTTATTTCATTAGGGATCTTTGCCGTAAGGATACCACATGTGCCTACTACTTCAGCATTGATTCAGATGTGATGCTCACCAACAGACAGACACTGAAGCTCCTCATTGAGCAGAACAGGTAATCATATGGTAACTGGAATAAAAGCCAAAGTGGAACCCGTTCAGTGAGTATCCCTGGTAGTTGTTGAACCATTTAATTTACCCCTCAAGTGGCAAAACCACAGGAACATTATAGCTGACTGAATGAAAGTTTAAAAATAAGCCGCTCTGGCTTCCTGTTTTTGCCTGGCCACATGGAAACAGTGAAAGAGTCAATTGCACTAACCCCGAAATGCCACTTTGCATTATACAAAAAACAAACATGCAAACCCTTTTCCCTTCTGCAGCTCATGAATTCGAAGAAACCTTCCCGTAAACTAGATGTCATTGTGGCAGTGGCATGGTATTGTGACCTGCTGGAGGCATGCAAAGTAAAAGCCTCTTCTGGGATATTTAAAGACAGCATGAGAAATTTTCTGCTGGCACTCCGGTTGCGGGAGGAAAATGTCAATCTATCTTATATAAGAAAATTTTGCATTAGTATACAGTACTGTAGTGCATCAATATCTACCAGTCTGCCCTATTTATTTCATATAATAGAAAAAATCCCTTTCATTGTGGTTTGGTTTTGTAAGACTAAAAGAGCAGCAGTGGAAAAAATCCTGTTACTCTATTTTATGAAAATTCTAAGGAATAGACCAGATTCAGGGTTTATATAAACAGACTATTGCAGCAAGCCGTTACACTTATCTGAACCCAGTTCAGTATGATTTACAGGTCTGGTTTGTATTACACACTTCAACGATCTGTTAGTGATTTGGCAGTGATCATATCTATCTAGTGAGAGGTTGATCTCCTTGATGCAGCATGCTGGTTTTACAACTTAGAGACCCAGTGCATTAGGTGGTTGGCTGTCTGTGAGATGTCACTGAGTTTTATCTGCTTTGACAGAATTACCATCTCTCCATTCTGCCTCTTGCTTCCCTACAGGAAAATAATTGGTCCCCTTGTCACTCGTCATAGCAAGCTGTGGTCCAACTTCTGGGGAGCCTTGAGCCTGGATGGTTATTATGCTCGCTCTGAAGATTATGTCGACATTGTGCAGAAAAAACGTGTGTAAGTCACAAGTGCATCAAGGGTACAAACAGCAGCGGCCTTGCACTTTTATGGTTCACACATGCCAGTGTTGGAACTCTAGTCCACGACTAAAATCTTTTCCCATTGTGCTAAAACAGTTCTCATCCATGTTTAGCCATAAACAACCAGACCCATAAAATGCCTTTATTATGAGCTACATCCTAGAATACACACATGAACATTAAAGCAACAATCAACATGAGCAGTGATTTAGTGCTGAGCTGACCGAGTCGTGAAAAAACGGTATTCAAATTCACTTCTTTTCTCTGACTGACTCCCTTTTTTATGTGTTTAAAAATAAGTTGAAATAGCAACCAGATGGCACAAATGGAGCAAACATTCACCCACCACACTAAAATCACCCGTGGACCCGTGGGGTGGAAGACAGTGAGGGATTAAGTCCTTGTCGCTGCATTAGCAACTCCTAGTGGTTGGTCAGGGTGCGTGGGCAGACAGGGTTGGGGCTGACTGTTACTTAACAGATAAAAAAAGATTCAGAATCTTCTACCACGTTTGACACTTGACACTTTTTTTGCACCATAAAGATCACCAATACATTCTCCAACAGCTCCTACAACACACTTATAGTCATGTTCACCTACTTTCTCTTGTTCATGTCTTCTTATTTCTAGGGGCGTGTGGAACATTCCTTACATGGCACATGTATACATGGTCAAGGGCAGTACTTTGAGGAATGAACTGAAAGAGAGGAACTACTTTGTTCTGGAGAAACTAGACCCAGATATGTCTTTGTGTAGAAATGCCAGAGAAATGGTAAGAATCATGTGTTAGTATTGTAAATATATAGTGAATATACTGTTGTAGTGTGCACTGTGTAGCATCTATACAAACATCACAGCATAGCCACTGTAAGGGATACTTATGTTAGAAATGTAAATTCTGTATTTACATATAGAAAGGATTCAGTAGAGTTAAAAAATACAATGAATGTTAACCCTAACACAAGTCAACAGCTCAACAGAAACCAATGACTGGCAAGTACAAGCGGTTTGAAATGTCTGTCTGTCATCAAGGCATGAACCTCCTCTGTTTATGGTTGCTCTATGGTGCTTTAAGGTTCTTTGCTCCACTTGTATCCAGTCATCCTTCACTTTCTCTTTGTCCTTGTTGTCTCTGTATGACCACAGACAGTGCAACCTGTTACACTGCCTGGCTGGCTAGTTGACAAGAGTTGTCTTGTCTGTTATGCGTTTTTCCTTCCTCCTGTAAACCCTTCGTCCAGCTGTGTTCTATGTCACAATCCCGTCACCTGTGCTCTGTACTAAACAACACCTGATCCAAACTCTGTATATTTTTGGATTGCTTGGCCTTTCCCCCAGCATGCATTACCTCCCATATTAACCCACAAAAAAAACATCAGCTTCAGAGGGAACCTTGCTCCTTTTTCATGCAGGCGCATTTCCTCTCCTCCTGAGTTGCTATGTATATTGCAACTGTCACACTGTCTCTTATTGTGAAACAATACTTTATGTTATCCTATTTACATGATGCTTCTCCTTTATTTTAGACCAGTCACAGAGAAAAAGACTCCCCTTCTCCGGAATCATTCCATATGCTCAGGCCCCCAAAGGTTTCCATTTGTTTTGATTATTCTGCTTTCTGAAACATCCATTTCCAATGGGTTAGCGCTCAGAAACCATTCCGAGCTTTGGCTCATTTCATAGGCAGAATCTTTTTCACATGCAAAAGACTTGTAGCTTATTTGATTGAGGATTTCTTGCCATTGCTGAGTAAATGTGTAAAGCAAAACACTGAAATTCCATATCTCTCCATTTCTGCATTCTCCATTGGAATTTGTGTGTATTATCAATTATTTTTTCAGATTTATAAAAAACACAATTTTAATATTTAGTTGCTCTCTCTTGATGTTGCTGCCTTTATCCTCTCGTAAGATATCAGCATGTCTGGCAGCTCTTTGGAAATTGATGTTGACATTTTGCTTGACTTTAGGTTCAAAAGCCGATATCTGTCTAAGCTAGAAAGACCTGTTTTCTGTCCTGTTTTTTTTTTATAATGCCTTCCAAGAGGAGATCAAGGAGGAGAAAGACGGTCAGAGAGTCAGTTCACATGCAAGTCCCCTGTCCTGATGCTTTACCCTGAACAGCCAAACCTTACAGAAAACACATGTAACCAGCTGCTCCCTCTAAACACACTTGACTGATCTCAGACTAGGCTCCAACAATATTAATTTTCACTCATGTAAACCACCTGGTCCAAATCACAGCTTTCACAAGATCATCTATTGCATTAGCAAATTTGGAAACTCATACCAGGATACTGCAAAACCATTCTTAATTTATAATCTTCATTCATCTCTTGTCCTTCACAAAGCCTAGTCTGATAGTGAGTCCAAATCCACCCCTACACAACACCAACCCCATGCTTCACTGTACAGTAGAGGGAATATAATTCCTGGATTTGCTTTGTCCCAAGCTGCCCAGCACCCCTCTGTTCCTGTTCTCCCACCCTTCTCACTTCACTGCCCCACCCTATCCTGTTCCCAACCCACCAACATCCTGCAGCCCACCACCCATAAATAATCTCAGATTATTTATATGGCGTCTGTGTCTCTATCTCAGTCAAACACAATTGATTTCAGTGTGTGTGTTAAAACATACTTTGAATCAGTACTTTATTTTCATTTTGTGCAAACAC